ATGGCGAATGCGGCATTTGCTACGTCCGAATTGATTAATTTGTTGTTTTAATTGTAAGTCCTGGTTAGCGCTGCTTTTAATTTGCGCACTGGACAAGCAGTGTTTAATGTTAACACGCATCACGGATACCACGTATCGTTTGTGGAACATTCTGGACGGTCAGCGAGTTAATTACGTTTTGAAGAAAGCTCTATTGCTTTTAGAAAATGTGGTACAGTGATTGGGATCATCAACAAACACACACTCAAAAGGCTTATGTGATGCCCCACTTCAAAAAAATGCTTTTTATCTACCCGCAAATCGGGAACAGTTGAGGTAAATGTTGCCCTAATCTTGCAGCCAATTTCGCTCAAGATTGCATGTGATTGTTTACAGACCTTAAGAAACCCTGACTTCCATAGTCATGGAAATGACGCTTAAAATTGTTGACGGGTTTCGGTACCAACTAATGCGTCTTTATTTCTAACCGGATTTTTCATCAGAAATGTTATAATCAATCTCAACTATTACAGTTTCAAACATCATTTTAATAAATTAGGCCAATTGTGTGGAGATTTCGGTGTAATTGTGTGCTTTAGCGTATATTTACTGGTGACCATTACATGCAAGGAACACCCGTTTTGGAATCGAATGTCATCCTATCAAGGCGCGTATGGCCCTGAATACTTCGATGGCGACATCTAACCCCAGCGTGTTCCATTTAAATACCTGTTATATCTACGACACATTAGCTATCGCGTTAATATATAAGTCGGGTTTCCAAGGCGACCACAGCCACACAGAGGATTTGGAAAATTTGGAATTGGCCTAATTACCGATTTTTTTGGCCCACATACCCACTTTGCCTCGGTCCCTCTGTCATGTCAACACGACGCTTCGAACATTCCTTACCAGCAGGCTGCTAGATGCTCAACATCAATTAAGCAAATCAGTCAAACACTTCGAGGTCTAGGTTTGATTGGACGAAGTAACTGCCAGCACAAAGCAATCAGATTGGTGACAGCGCAATTACTGCAAAGCAACCGGTGGAACTTACTCGTATTAGGTGATAGGAACAGAGTGAGAAGGGTAGTGAAAGGGTAACCGCATCTAGCCAATCGATCAAATATGAAACGTGAGATGGTGCTGTAGAATACCCGAGCCCTAGGTGAAAGAAGACTGGTTTAACGCAGCGAACTTGATTGACCAGTTATCTACCCGAGTTCTCCACACTGGCTACGCCGCTGACCATATAGTGATTCTCCTCCATTCATGTCTTTAGTTGACCATTCAAACACACAGAGTAAGATTATTGGCTGATCTCTACGTGATCCAATAAGCCCGCTTGCTTGTACACCGCTACAGTCACCAGAAAGTTCGCCCCATCGGAACCTCTCTCGAAATTGATTGACTTAATTTCTGTTTCACGTCTTACACCAACACACACTTATGTTCGTTGGCACATCTAATACCCAAATTGCCTCCTATTTTTGGGCGTCGTGTTTTACGAACGTAACATGTCGCGTGTTCTGAGGAAACGCATAGACGACAACGATCGCGTGCAACAAAAAAGCACGCATGATGTGCGTGTCTACAACAAGGCTCTATACCAACCCACAGCAAAACATGAACTGGCCTCATATGTCACGGAACTTTGACTTGAACCCTCGCCAGAGAACCGAGGTGGCAACACTTGGTTGATCTTCTAACTCTTTTGTTTAAGGTCGACAAAAAGGCCTTAATGGTTTTTTTTGAAATTGCAGTTACTACTTTACTAGCTGACAACTGGGCGAATTCATTAGATTCGTCTTGAAAAGCCTAATTATGTCCTCATCAAAGAACTTCGACAGTTAAAGCTAGACACAGTTAGGGGTTAAGGAGGCCGGCGCTGATTTGAGGGCATTGGACACCGAACGATGTCCAAACCATGTGAAATCTGAGAAAGTCCTTGAAGTAGCACAGCTGTGCAGCATCTGGGGCTGGTATTCACGAGAGGCCAACAAGCATATTGCGAACACCGAAATCGATCGTTCTGACTCCCTTCAAGCAGTCAATAAGTACCATTACTCTCCCCTAAAGATGGGGATTGCACCCTTGGACGAGCTAGGAATTCCTGCTAGCATGTTCATCGCCATCGCCACGTGGACTGCATTCAAGACAACCAATTGAATCCGTGCTCGCTCACGAGTGCCAAGAGTGTCCGCTCGTCGGCCGCCACAGCGTGATTGAATTAAGTGGAAGGTTTTGACATCTTCAATGTACCATCACCCACGGAGTGACACGGGGATTAGGCTGAACCAGGCCCGCCTCCCCTAAACTGGATCAGTGACGGCGCTGGCGTGCAATCATCGGAACCCAGAGGTGCCAAGACGGCGTCCAAGCCTACCAGCCAATCAGGAGCGACCCTTCATTGTGTTGTCAAGGCGTGCGGTGGGTCTTTCGTATTTGCCGCACCAACTCAAATTTCTGTTGTTGTTGTTGTTGTCTAGCCATGTTATTAAGGCGTCTTGAAAACCACAACAGCAGACACGCAGTCCGTGTGGTCAAGCCTTTGATAAGGCTGTCGCGTGCACATTCATTAATCATGGCCAACTAACCACGCCTCTGTCGATCGCCGTGTGTGCGTTCTGGTCTCTAAGTTATATTCAGCCACTCATCAGGTCCAGAATGACGTCAACAGATGGTGGTTGTGAAGCAGTGGAGGCAACACTAATTCAGGTATGTATAATCGCCATCGGCACCAGATCCCTAGTCGACGCTAGCAGTGGCGGCAGTACTAGGTCGGGTATGTATGATCGCTGTCAGGAGGTGTATGGTGGTGTCACGATGATTTGATAAATTCCAATTGTTGAATTTCAGTAACGGCGTTATTAAGGCCCTTCTAAGACCCGAATTTTTTTTAAAACTAGTGTCAATCAGAGGATCAGGGAGAAACAGACTTGAAATACAATATTCCTGGACTTGAAAACCCAATGCATGAAGCAAATTGTGGAAATTCACCAAGGAAGGGGAATGTCAGCACATCCACATTACCAATTTGGAGTCCTTTCGTGTGCAAATCACATCACAATGATACGCTGACCGAAACTACGGCTGTGCGTTTGTGCTGCTTGACTCCGAAAGTTTTCCTGTGGTGTTATCAAATCACAATAAAACAAGGCACCTATGCAATAAGTATGTAACGTGAGAGGTTTATTACATGACCCAAAGGCCAGCAAATAATATAGAAGTAACCAACGATGAATTGATAAGCAAATTATCCAAGTGGTCTTCTATTTTTACTAAATTCACATTGAAAAGCTTAGAATCAGAGACCAAACGACTAGAAGACGCCGAGCTAGTCCAACAAATTCCGCCTGGAGTAATCATCGAATCTAATGACGCTGAAGTAAACACTTCAGGGGATTGAATTTGTATTGAACATAATAAAACGAGTTAAGATTTGTACAACCGAATGTCACATATCCTGTAGATTACAGCAAAGGGCGTCGAGAACCGCCACCGATCGGATGCCTGGGGTACTCTCGGATGCCTCTTCGTCCAGGGTAATCGGCCTGAGAAGGCGCGTTCATCTGAGACAATGTGGCAGTCATCGTAGTTGCCTGGTCTGGTAGGGCATCTTCGTAGGGACCGCGATGGACAACTCGACGCTTAGCTAGCATCCTCTCGGTGGCTGGTGGCGTTATTGCGACGTCGATCATGTCACCAATCCGGAAGGAACAATCCTAGCAAAAAAACAAACTATCACTGGTCTCACGAAAATGGCAACTGTACAATGCCGTGACTGAGGCACTCTCTTGAGCACTCATTTCCCTAACAATAGTGCCACTACTCTAAAGGAAGAAGATGTTAACAGGCGATGTAAGCAAATATAGCAAGGGTGTGCACTTATAAAGTGAGAGGTACATTCGAATGGAAGATAAACCCCAGGAGCAGAGTTGCAACACAAAAGCAACAAAATAATTAAGAATATAAGACAATTACCTTAAGCATAATTTTATCGGCGTCAGAAGGGACTCCCGAACAAACAGTACCAATATCCCGCATTCTGTAACCAGGAGACCGTGGATCTGGAGAAACAACCGCAAATTCAAAGGTAGTTCCACGTTTACGTGCTTCAGCATTTACTTGCTTAATTAGGGCTGATAATTCTAGCAACGTCGCATCTAGCCTAAGTGATGTCAAGTAAATTTAAGAAATATTACCATGTGTAAGCCTGCAGCTCATTGATGGGAAACGACTTGCGGGAATATTCGAATGGTTTGTGATGACCACAATGGCCACAGAATAGCCTTAATAAAAGAGGACAAGTCTTTTCCCTGTCTATTCGACCATCACTTTTCTCGCCCAACACCATCGCTGTAAAACACTTTCAAAGCGAAATCAAACCACGCGGGCTTTCCGAGTTAAATTCAACAAACCATTTACTCGATCCATGAGGCCAAAAAACGGTGAAATCTATTGCAGTAGCCAGAAAACTTTTGTTTTTAGTAGCATATATTGAGGACGAGATGGCTTGCATTTCAGCTTCTATATTACCGAAATGACAAGAGCTACTCTCAATTTTAATACTAACCTGACAGCCTTTACACTTAAAACACTTAAACCTGCATAGTTGCATGTGTAATAATGGCTTAATTTGAGCATGCAACGTTTTTAAAGTAAGTAAAAAAAGCAGCAAGACAGAATAAAATAGGACTTGGTTTTGTTCGCGAAGCAATTTTATAAGGATTTAGGATAATATACGAAAAATGTAAAGTGATGTCCGATTTCATTATAAACTGAAAATTGTTGGGTTAGGGTAAAAGGCGGATTCTGAGCCCAAATATTTGGTCAGAACGGGAATCCACATTTTTGCTTCCTAAGATTAACTTTATCATGCTTACTGATTTAGGCGGAAGTAGGTGTAAACTAATAAAAAATAGTAATCCGTGTGTTAATAGTACACATTAAAAACATGAGTGTAAAATCAATGTAAGTTTTCTGTCCTCCAACCTCGCAGAATTGTTTTAATTGGTTAAAATAAAGCCGCACTTACCAATTATTTTTCGATGGCAAGTTCTCGTGATTCTCGACAGGTATTCCTTACCATTTGTAAACGATGTTTTAGGGTGGGGATGTAGGTGTCACAAAGGCTTCAGACGACCCTTACAAGACCCTTTGTGATGATGTGAAATCCTTCATTGTGTCGTTCTATAAGCACATTAAAAGCAATGATTTAGTTGAAATTGAAAATGACTACGTCATCAAGTAGAGTTCATGATGATAGATTTACTTAAACTTCAGGTTTCCAAAACTCACAGAGCAGTATTTTAAAAGTACTCGTTGGCCTTCCGTTGAGATAATCGCCCCACTTGTGCACAAAGGTAATTATTCTGCCCTTACATAATCCGCCGTAGATCCCTTGTTCATGATGTTGTATAACGAGCTCTTTTACCGTCACCTTTACGCTCACGTGAACTCTTTTCCGGAGCTGGAGGAAGCCCATCAATCATACTTGAACTATTGTGCATTCTTCGAAGCTCTCCTAAGTACGTTTCTGCGCCGTACATCAGTATACCATCTCATCGTGTTGCATGTATTTGCGCAACGTGATTTTGTGAATTGCAGAGCCTAAGCATCCTGTTCAGTTGGAGTTGCCGAACCAGTGGCTCTGGGACATAATTGACGAGTTTATCTACCAGTTCCAGAAGTTTTCCATCGCTCGCAACAAAGTCAAAAAGAAGCCAGAGGATGATGCCTTTCTTCGTCAAAATCCAAGAACTTGGAGTATTCACGGCGTCTTAAACATCCTCTTTCAACTAGTTGAGAAGTCGAATATCAATGACCAACTAAGTTATTACGCAATGCAACGTGAGTTTGATTGTTAACTTTCACCAACCTTTTTCATCAAATAATCGAGTGTTTCTCTTTGCTCAGGTGACTCCTCTGAGGTTGCTGGTGTGTTCGGTCAATGCAACCTCTATAAAATGCTGGGCTTCTTTAGTCTAGTCGGGCTTTGTCGTGTGCACTGCCTCCTTGGCGACTACTTCACCGCTCTAAAGATGCTGGAACACGTTCAACTAAGTCACCAGGAGTTGTATCACGAGGTGCCCACCTGTCACATCACAACCGGTTATTACGTCGGCTTCGCCTACATGATGATGCGTCGCTTCCAGGACGCCGTTCGAACCTTCACGAGCACGCTGGTGTACATCTCTCGAGTGAGCAACTACGTGGCCCAGCACCAAGACCTCCGAGATTACGTCATTAAACAATCCGATCAGATGACCAGTCTGCTGGCGATCTGCATCACAATCAACCCTATGCCCATCGACCAGTCCGTGGAGCAGCATATCAAGGACAAGTTTGCAGAAAGCCTTAACCGCCTCCAGCAAACGTATGTCACCTACGCATTCCCTGCCTGTTGTCGAATACTTGTACTTATTTTGCATGCGACTCGCTTTCTAGCAACAAGGACGAGTTCAGCATGTGCTTCGATATGGGCTGCCCGCGCTTCATCAACCCCGACGCCAACGCCAACGAACGCACCGACTACGTGCTGGATGCCCAGCGTCACCAGGGCTACGTCTTTCGCAACGAGTTAGATCAACACTGGATTGAGCTGCCTCGCTTGCGCTCCTTCCTCAAGCTCTACACCTCCTTGCCTGTCTCCAAACTGGCACACTTCTTGGACGAGGTATGCTGAATCCTCTTAGAACTAATCTCTTAGTTTGTGGTTTTCATATTGCTAATTCGAACCCTCTCTTGGGGCTTCTACGTAGGATGAAGAGGGTGTCCACTCACTGCTGATGCGTTTCAAGCATCTTCTGAAGAATGTGACCTCGACCGGAGAGTCCTGTGGTTGTCTGGAGGGAATCCTCAAACTCCTCTGTGACACCGATTTCTACGTTGACGGCGACATGGTCCACATCGCCGATATGAAGGTCGATCGGCGCTTCTCGGAGTTCTTCATGCTGCAATTGGAAAAGCTCCGTGAGGTGTGTTAACCATGCGGGAAAAAAGCATCCACTGACCAATTTTTAGTAGACTTTCCTCTAATGTTGGCTTTTTTTGTTTTATTTAGCTAAACGACCAATTGGATGAGGTGGAGAAAAAACTCAACAGTACTCGTATCCGTGCGTAGAAGATTTGCCACTTCCAATCATTCTTTATTGATTGTATCTTCCCATTATTTAATAAACAATCGTTGGGATCTTCGCTTTTCACTCACAATAACATTCTGGATTTCTCGCTTCTAGTTCATAAGTCACTACAATTATTACGAAGTCCGTTCCCTAATCTCTCGATGTGCGTTCAAAATGCCAGCCACTGTAATGACCAATAGCTACGATTTCGTTTGAGTCGTGTGTTATTTAGAAAACTTCCCCTAATTAGCCGTGGCGGTTCAGCAATAAAGTGGAAAGAAGTAGTTTCTATCAGTGGTGTATGTGGCCTTACTTTCGCCATTGCAGCCTGATGGAGCTGCTTCAGAATGCTGCACCACGCCTCCACCCCACTGGGAAAGGCCGCATTGGCTCGGAGTTCAAGCCAAGGTCATCCACTACCCGTGAACCAATCACAGCTGCAGAAGTCTTTGGTAAGAAAGTTGTTAGCCAGTGAGATCTATATTTGCCTCTTGTAGAGCACATCCGCGATATCCGTGACCCCGAGCATCCGCACACCCTGGAAGCACTGGGCGTCGTCCAAGAAGACCACATCACAGTCGACGACGCCGGTTCGGCTGTCAGTGTGCTCATCACCCCAACCATCCCGCACTGCACCATGGCCACTCTCATTGGCTTATCCGTTAAAATCAAGCTCCAACGCTCGCTGCCCCGTCGCTTCAAGGTAGGCCCCGCCTTGAGTCAGTGCACACCAATGAGAAGCCGTTCTAGTAACCCCCACCCGCCGTCCTCCTACTTTTCCGCCAGGTTAGCGTCGTTATAGCGCCGGGCTCGCACAACACTGAGGACGACATCAACAAACAACTGGCCGACAAGGAGCGAGTTGCCGCGGCCATGGAGAACCCGACACTCATGCGAATGGTCAACGACTGCCTCGTTGGGTCGTGGTAGTGCTCGAATCCCTCATTCTCAGGTCTTTTCCTCCGTGATTTGCTGTTTTGAGAAGAAAAAGTTCCTGTTTTTTATGAGGTTTTCCTTTTGGGATTTGTGAATTTCTCGAAATTGGCGCTAATTACGCGGCAGACGTTCGATAAAAATCAGGTGAGCCGTTGTCGAACGGGATTGGCTAATTAGGTCTGGGCGTACACACACACGTAACTCCGTCTCTAGGTGTGTGTATGTGTGTGTGGTTTTTCCATTTCCAACTGACAAGGGGTCATGTAGTGTGAATGGGCTAGTGTCTAGCGTCTGATCCGAAATGGGGTGGTCACATCCATGTTACCAAAACACACTAAAAGCACCATCGACTTGTCCGGACATTTCCAAATTCCTCGTGCTCTTAGCTGAGCTTGGCGCAAGCCTCGTTAGATTGTCCTGGAACCGTGCGCCGGTCACGTGACGCCACACTAGGCGTTGACCTCGAGCCGCGCCACACGGGCCCCCGCGTCGGATCGATAGGCGCACTGGGTGCTGGGAGTGGCACTATCGTGTCGACACGCGAACTTGTTCACCGCGACGGTGAAGGGAGATGGCCAAGGTGAGTGGTGTGTAGCTTCGACCAGACGTTGTACCGTTTAGGCCGCGGTCAGGGAGGTCATTTGCATCCACATTGGACAGGCGGGCGTTCAGATGGGCCACGCCTGCTGGGAGTTGTTCGGTCTGGAGCACGGCATTCGGCCGGACGGTCTGTACGCTGAGGGCTGCCACGCCTGCGATCATTCCTTCCTCACCTTCTACAACGAGACAGGCCACGGCAAATTTGTGCCGCGGGCCGTGCTTGTCGACCTGGAGCCGACTGTTATCGGTGGGTAAACCTCTCTACTCTCTACCTGTCAGTAGTAACGCATTAAGTTGTTTCATGCTCCCCCTCACTTTGTAGACGAAATTCGAACCGGGTATTACCGCATGCTGTTCCACCCGGACTGTCTGATCAGCGGTAAAGAGGACGCAGCGAACAACTTCGCACGAGGGTACTACACCGTGGGAGAACTGCTTATCAATCATGCCCTTGACCAAGTCCGTAAGGTGGCCGACACGTGCCATGGGTTGCAGGGATTTATCATCTTCCACTCACTAGGCGGTGGATCGGGGTCAGGGTTCGGCTCCCTTCTGATCCAGCGCCTCTCAGAGGACTACGGCAAGCGCACCAAGATCGAGCTCTCCGTCTACCCGGCTCCCCGACTCGCCTGTGCCGTGGTGGAGCCTTACAACGCAGTTCTAACCACCCACTACTGCATCGAGCACTCCGAGGTGTGCTTCCTCATGGACAACGAGGCCGTGTGGGACATTTGTCGTCGAAACCTCGACATCCGGCGACCTAGCCTCACAAACATCAATCGCATCCTCGCACAGGTCATCTCCTCGCTGACAGCGGCGCTGCGATTCGACGGCCAACTCAACGGCGACCTCACCGAGTTCCAGACGAACTTAGTCCCCTATCCTAGGATCCACTTTCCCCTGGTCACCTTCGCGCCGGTTGTCGCCGCGGAAAAGGCCTACCACGAGTCGAACACGGTGGATCAAATAACCAAGGCGTGCTTCGAGCCGGCGAACTCGTTCGTCAAAGTGGACCCACGCCACGGCAAGTACATGTCCGTGTGCCTGCTCTACCGCGGCGATGTGGACCCGGCGAGCGTCAATACCGCCACGTCGACCATCAAGTCGTTCAGCTCGATTCGCTTCGTGGACTGGTGTCCCACGGGCTTCAAGGTGGACATCAACAGCCAGCCAACCGTCGCAGTGCCGGGCGGCGACCTGGCTAGAGTCATGCGAACGTGTTGCATGCTCGCGAACACCACGGCCATCGGCGAGGCGTTTGTGCGCATCGACAGGAAGTTCGACCTGATGTTCAAGAAGCACGCCTTCGTCCACTGGTACGTCGGGGAGGGCCTTGAGGAGGAGTCCTTCATCAACGCGCGACAGGACCTCGCCGCCCTGGAGCAGGACTACGAGGAGGTCGGCTACGACACCAAGGATTGACGCTGCAGACGCCAAAACGACTGTGCTTGGTCTGCGAGCTCTTTTGTGTTTGGGTTCCTGTGTGTGTGTGTCTCACAATTGATTTGCGTGACTTGACTGCTAACACAAGCACTTCACGCACAGTCTTCTGTCTGAAGTCACTTGCTGGTGATTCCAATCGATTCCAAATATATGATTTGCTTCGGTTAGAACCCCCCCCTCTCCTCTCTTTAATTTCATGTTACAAGATTGTTGAGCAACCCAAACACCCAACTAAGTAATCTCCAACCACAAAAAGTAATAGACGGGTGATAGTTATTAGGACGTTTTAGGAAAATACAGGTATCAATTAAAGTACCAACTGCTGTTGGGTAGTCACAGCAGTTGGTGTGCCTTCCGTCATTCCCAACGGTTTGCAAGTTCTGATTGTCCCGGTTGCAATATATTGCACCGGTGGAGTTAGCTTTGTTGACATTGAATGCAGAGTTTGGCAAATTTGCGAACGCCAGGCACGAACGCCGGGATGTGAAAGCGAGTGGGGATATAGGATCGAGGTTGTTGTGACTCGTGTTTATTAAATCCCTTAATCCGGTCGCTCCACCTCCTACACAGGGTTCCCCTTTTCGTACCATGTCGCCAGCCGCGCGAATCCTCAACTCTCCCTTCATTAGCACGAATATTTATCTTGGAGTATCCCCACACCTAGGTCTCGGTGTTAGTGCATGTATGACTCACACATCCGAGGTATAAATACACACGCGCAAACTCCACACACGACACAACGACACCAACGTGGTTGACCTCTGAAGTAAACGGTTGTGTCCACGTCCTCTCCGATCTTTTTCTTCATCGTGGGTATCAGGCAACCGTAACCGGGCCAGGGTTGGTTCCATGGCCCCGGCGCGGTTCAAGACCACATGTTAGGGCCCACAACAAGGTCTTCCAATTGACAATCGAGATATAGACTGGAATTTGATCGAATTTGTCGTAATTCTCTAGGTCATTCACGGGAACTGCAGCGAACCGCGCGAGATCGACACCAGGAACTGAAAGGTTTGGAATGTTTCAGCTACGGCGTTGTCGGTCCCATCCAACGCAGTGAACGCTGCTTGCGAATTATGGAACATGGTCAAGATTGCCGAATTCGGTAAAGTTGGTGAACTCACGTCGTTCCAGGAGACAACGGAAGTGGTTCACAGCTAGACAGATCACCAAAATCTCTCTAGATTTCGGGAGAAAAAGGGCAATCGCTCAGTAAGGCCCTGCCGACGGCAGTTTGGGAAGCATCCATTTGTAAGACAAGCTTTCCTTCTTTCCTTTAGTGACACAGTCAATCAGTGGAGAAGAAATTTCATCGGCATTTGGAATAAACATTCATGGTAGTGGGCCAGTTTAAGATCACGACGCAAGCAATGGAAACTCCGGAATTGCTGCTACTTTCTCAGTCATCAAATTAATGTCGAAGGAACTAAACACTGTCTGGTCCGAAAATACCTTTTTCAGGGTTCGTTGTGATGCTGCAAACCTTAAAATGGGTGAAAACTTGTCGTAAGTGGACGTCTTCAGGGGTGACAGATATCTGATGATAAGCTTGGGCAAGGTCAGGTCTTGTAAAGACTTCATCACCGTCTGAATTCAAGGCGAATTTTGTGAATAAGAGGAATAGGGTACCACCCTTCAGGGTTCCATCTTCGTGGTTGTTTCAACTGAAGCTGATGGTGACGCCTGGTCAAAAGATGCAAGAATTCCAACACACTATTGTACTTCACCGAAAATCTAAAACATGGCCAAACAATGCGTAACGTGGTGTTTAGTTAAGGATTTTCTTTCCATCTAACACTCCCAAAACGAGTGCTTTCACTGATGATCCTGTCATCACCAACAACTACGACTGACCGGAGTTTTGTGGGCCCCAGCATGCGGTCTTGAACCACGCCGGGGCCACGGAATTAAGCCTGGTCCGATTACACTTCCCTGATTTCCCCCATGGGGAAAAAGACCAGAGAGGACGTGGACACAGCCGTTTACTTCAGAGCTCCACCACGTTGGTGTCGTTGTGTCGTGTGTGTGTGGGGTTTGCGCGTGTGTATTTATACCCCGGATGTGTGAGTCATAGATGCGCTAACGTCGAAACCTAGATGTGAGGATAATCCAGGATAAATGTTCGCGCGAATGAGGGAGTTGAGGATCCACGCGGCCGGCGACATGCTGCGAAAAGGGGCACTCTGCGTCGGAGGCTGGAGTGGCCGGATCGAAACGGTTCACAACAGGAGTATGACAGATGAGGTGGATACAGGCATGTTGCGGCAGCAAGATCCACACCGTTATCCTTGACCTTGGTATGTCCTTGAAAGATCCCGCAACACGAGTGTACAACTGACCTTCAAAAGGACCAACAGGAAGTGATGTTTGTCAGCTGTGACTTTGGTTAAAACAAACGCCGTGCTCACCATCTTTCACAGCCATCGAAGGACTCCCTCGGGACCTAATGCCAACACTTCGACACAACACATGTCCACACCCACCATGAGTCGTCCAATTCCGCACCTTCCACAGTGACCGCATTTACCGAGTTCCGTCTTGTTCGACGTCGCTGGCAGTTGGTGAGAAAGACGAGAGGTGGATCCGATAACGTCCCTCACACAGCATATTCACTCCATCCAAACTCACGACACACTGATTGCAACGCCGTTCAGATGTACTGACCTGTTCTAGTCACTTCGCTTCCAGGCACTGTGGCCGCTTCACTTAACTGGCACACCACTTGTCACTCTCATCACTCTGCTAGGCGTTACAGTCTGGCTTGTTTGATTGCATGAGGTGGTATTCTCTCTGGAACTGAGAAGTCAGCCCAGGTTGACGTGTTAATTGGGTCAATGAGGAGTGAGATGGGTCGGACGCTACCGTGGCGGACGAGGCGGCAGCAGTTTTGCATGGCAACATGTGGGTGCGTGGTAGGGGTTCCAGCGAAGGATCCCAATCTCGGCTTAGTGGAGAAGCGATGCGGCTTGTGCTGGAAGTTGGGTCTTCTACATTCACACACGAAATGTCCACGTGGATGGGCGTAGTTGGCACAGTTCCAGGCCCTCCCAATCAGAATTTGTTGCCAGCACACC